GCGTCCCGACGCGCGGGGCCGGGGCCGACGCTGGGGTTACCCCGCCCGCCTGTGTGCTCGCGGGCCTTGAACCCCTGACCCGGCGAGGTGCGCCATCTCTTAGACAGATGGGTCATTAACTGCCCTTAAAAATAGGTGCTATTTAATTTAGCCAAAGTACGAAACTTCGGGTTGTATAAAGGTGCACATTCACCGGGAACCATTTGTTTGTGGTCGTAAGGGGGGGCGTCCACCCGTTTTCTATCAAGACCACCCCGCCTGCCCTTCCGTCAGGGTTCCAGCATCGGCAACGGCAAAGGTGCAGAAAGCACCGAGGGACAGTCCCTGCTCGAATAGCGCCCTGCACTCCGGAGAGTCGGATACTTTCCCCCGTCCTTGGCTTAGGTGTTTCTTGACAAATACGCACGTGATAAAAAGTGGCCATCACTGAAACTTATAAAGAAATCCAACAAGTATATTTTGAGCGTGAAGTATACTGTGTAATAGCCAGGTGCTCGGCCAGATGCGGGAGATGCGAGTGACCCCCCCCCCCATCACCATCAGTGACTGCTTTAGGAGGTGGAAGCGACAGACAGTAAACAAGTTAAACGAATGATTAAGATGCTCCTGGCAGTGGTAAGTGCTGTGAACAGAATAAAAGCAGGTCAGTGAGGAGGGTGACTGGGCTTTATAGCTGCCCCGCTTCTTAGATTTGGAGGGGGGCAGATTGGAACATCACCTCCGCCTGCAAGTGTTCGGCAGCAAGAATGTTGTTTTTCTCAAACCGTGTTGTGGGAATGTGGGTAGTCAACACTTTTGTATCCACTCATTTAAAAAAACGTTAATTTTTAAACCATAATACATACTGAGTGAAAAAAAGCAAACCAGACAACTGTATTCAGAGTGGTATTATTAATATGAAATTCACAATCAGGCAAAACTAAATCACCATTTGTGTGCCTAACTTCTATGTGGCATAAGTGTAAAGAAAAGCAAGAATGATTAACACAAAATTTAGGACTGCAGTTATCTTTGGGGAAAGTGAGGATAATGGAACGAGAATGGCTCATGTTGAGCCTCGAAAGTATTGCTGGTGGTCCTTTCTTAAACTGGACTCGTAGGTGTCAATTTTATTATTCTCAAAACCCTAAGTTTTAAATTACACAGCTTCTATGATAAGTATGAAATAGTTAATAATAAACCCGGTTTGATGGGTAACTTAATTTCAGGTGCGATCGTAGACAAATTTCATCACCTGTCAATATTTTTCTAGGCACATTTTGGTGGGGGAGGTGTTTGTCACTTATTGATTTTCTTGTCTTTATAGTTTTAGGAGATACCAGTTAACTATGAGCAACACTTTTTAATGGAAGGGGAAACTTTCCACTTAAGGTTCTACCACAGACTGCAATACTTCCTTAACAAAAAGATTTAAATTTTATAGGGCACAGAGTGTACCAATCTTCTTCCCCTCACCACTGCACAGCTTCCCTGATTATTAACATATTTCATTAGTGTGGTACATTTGTTATAGTTAATGAGCCAATGATAACACATCGTTACTTAACTAAAGGCTCCAGTTTATATTAGGCTTCACTCTGGGGGATGTATGTTCCATGGTATTTGACAGTTTCGTAATGACATGTATCTGCCATTATAGTATCATACAGAAGAGTCTCACTGCCTTAAAAACTCCTGTGCTCCACCTACTCATCCCTCCCCTACCACACCCCAAACACTTGGCAACCACTAACTTTTTTTTTTTTTTGCCTTTTCCAGAATGGCATATAGTTGGGATTATGCTGTACGTAGCCTTTTCAGACTGACTTCTTTCACTTAGCAACGTGCATGTGTCTTTGTGACTTGATAGTTCATTTCTTTTTATTGTCAAATAATAGAAAGCCTCTAATCTCATCATTGTTATGTGTCAGGCATTCTGAGAGCTTTATACATATTAAATTATTTAATCCTGGCAACTTTATAAGGCAGGTATTAGTAATATCCCCATTTAACAGATGAAACAGGAGACATTTTATAGAAGAAACAGAACAGAGCTTAAGTAACTTGGCCAAAGTGGTGGAGCAGGATTTGAACTCAAGTGCTCTGGCTTCAGAGTCCATGCCCTTAACCACCATACTCTACTGCTTCAAGCAGAAATGTCTAAAATTTCAGCACCTAACCTTGTTTTATCAATTCACAGTGCCATACTCCCCAACTCTGCCTACTTAAGAGACCTATACTTATGTTTTAGTAAATTAAGTTATATAAGTAGCACAAACTTTTTGACCCAGCACAGTACTCCATATGATGATTAATAATTATTAAATCCTGCTAAATAGTGACAGCTTTTTTGAGCCTTTGCTGCATGCTAGACACTGTTACATGCTTTTCACACACATCATCTCAATGCTTACAGCAGCACTTTGAGAAGATGCAATTATTCTCTCTCAGGAAACTGAAGCTTAAAGAGGTTAAATAACTAGCTCAAGGTTAAAGAACTAAGTGGTAGATCTGGGCCTACAACACCCTTAGAATTACTCCAGAATCTGTGCTCTTAAAACTGCCGTTCTTGTCTGCTTTTAATATTATCCTTTGGTTGATGAAGCTTTTCAAATTACCGTGACATTTCTAAAATAACCTGAAAAAATAGGTATATGTAAGGATGTTGTCTGTATGTGTCTGTGTAAGAATATTATGGCAGTGTTGCTGCAGTCTGATGTGGCCCATATGACATTTTGGTCAATGACAGACTGTACATACAACCATGGTCCCATGAGATTTTAATGAGCTGAAAAATGCCGACTGCCTTGTGAAGTCGCGGCTGTCCTAAGGTCGCGGAGCAGTGCCTTACTCGCGCGTTTGTGGCGATGCTGGTGTCAACACACCCACTGTGCTGCCAGTTGTATAGAAGTGTGGCACAGTGTGTATGGTACATAATACTTGAAAATGATAATAAATGACTATACTGGTTTATGTATTTATTATCCATACTTTTTTTTTAAAAAAAAAAACCTTACCCGAGGATATGTTTTTATTGATTTTAGAAAGAGAGGTAGGGAGGGAGGGAAAGAAACATGGATGTAAGAGAGAAACATAGATCGATTGTTTCCTGTACAAGCCCCAACCAGTGATTGAACCTGCAACCTTTTAGTGTACAGGATGATGCTCCAACCAACAAAGCCACCCAGCCCAGAGCTATTATCTACTTTTTAATCTGAATTTTAGAGTGTACTCTTTCTACTTATAAAAAAAAAAGTTTGCTGTGAAACAGTAGCTGTGTTACACTGGCAGCAGCCTCATACATCTGGTGTTTATCCCGTCTCAATTGCCTTGTTTTCTCTTGAGTTTGATTTACTCTCACGTTGTACATGCTGTACAGGCTTGTAGCCTAGGAACCATACACTTACCATATGGCCTAGGTGTGTAGTGGGCTGCACCATCTAGTTTGTGTAAGTGCACTCTGTGATGTTTTCACAATGACAAAATCGTCTGATGACGCATTTCTCATACTTATCTCCATTGTTAAGTGGCACATGACTGTAATTTTGAAAACAACAAATTGTTTGGAGAAATGGTTAAACCACCTAAGGTATATCCAAGACAAAAGGACACTCTGCTACAGTTTTAAAAATGGGTAGATTATGTATATTTATATGGAAGATGTTCGAGACAGAAGAAAGTATCTCTAGAATAATACATTTGTACAATAAAGTTCCACTTATGTAAATAAACCAAAACCAAACTTAGAGGATCAGGCCTGTAATGAGCAGGAAACCATCTGCTGGTTATGCTCAAACACTGGTTCTCTTTGTGGAGCTAAGTGCAATGGTGAGTGACTGAAGGAGACTTTTACTTTTTAATCTATATAATTTTGTGTCGAAATTTGTTCCACAACATGGAGGTATTCATGTAGTAGCTGTCTAAAAATGTTAAAAGACTTTAAAAGAACAAACACAGAAAGGTTACACATAGTCTGATTACAACATTGTAAAAATATACGAAGTCAGAAGTAAGTTTTGAGAAAACAATAGTTGGCATTTTAACTTCATGGTTCTCCATCTTTAGTTAGGCAATGTGCTCTAACATACAAACTAAACCATTAAGAAATAAGTGAACAGAATCACACCGCGGGAGATCTGCGTGTATTTTATTTCCATTAGAAAACATTAGCATACAGAATTTTGGTCCACTTTCTTCTCTTCCTCTACCATTCAAACCTACATCCTTAGTTTTACTCCAGTAAAAGCAGAATCGTACATCTGACATGAGAATTAAACATTGCACAACATTAAATTAAAAGGATTTAACTGAATCAGGTAAACTCCTCTTTCCCACATCCAGTAATGAATGTGCATAAGTGAATCTATCACATCAGTAATTGGATTCATCATCTCACTTTCAATTCATGTTCAATTGCCCTTATTATATGGTATTTCCATAATACTTCAGATATTTTAGTGAGTCTTACAATTTCCAGCACTGATTATAAAAATTAAGATGTTAATTTAAAAACAGCATTAAAATTCCAGGCTAAAGAACACCAGGCTCACTTAGAGTGATGCTGTTGAGAGGGGGCCTTGGACAGCTACTGCTTCAATCTCAACACGACCTCCCTGTAAGAAAATAATGAAGCAATGTTTATATCATATTTTACAAATTAAGAGAGCTCCATAATACCTCCTAAAACAGCAATTTAACATTAAAAAAAAGTTTTTATTGATTCTAGAGAGAAAGGAAGGGAGAGGGATAGAGAGAAACTTCGATGAGAGGGAAACGTCATCGATCGGCTGCCTCCTGCATGCCCCTTGCTGGGGATCGAGGCCACAATCTGAGCATGTGCCCTGACCAGGAATCGAACCAGTGACCTCTAGGTTCCTGGGTCGACACTCAACCACTGAGCCACACTGGCCACACAGCAATATATCATTTTTAACATGAAACTTTTCAAAGAAGAAAGGGAGAGGGAAACATTCACTAAAAACCTATGACAGGCCAGGTTACTATGCAAATCACGTTCATATACATTAGCTCATGTGACTCTCACAGTAGCTCTATTAGACAGGTGTTCTCTCAGTTCAGAGATTGACACCCTGAACCTTAGAAAGGTTATTTAACCTGTCCCAGGACACAAAGATCAATAGTAGAGGTTCAAACCCACATCCTGTGATTCCAAGTTCAGAGCTCCTTCTGCTGTACCCAATACCTTAGTAAGTTTGGTATACTGATCATTCCAAGTAACAACCAATTAAAGTGATTAAAATAACCACTCACAAATCTGGCTCAATTTATATACACTGTCGCTGCTATTTTACTTTTTCTCACAATTTAAGTACTCTGATTCTGTTGTGCTCATGTGTGGCTTTAATTTTTAATTTTCTGAATTTGTAAGACTAATTTTAAAAATTTCTTAGGTTTCTTAATTTTTTCCCCCATGCATGTAATATTGGGTGTTTTCTTTTAGACTTTAAGTCTCTGGAAAGCTGGGGCTATTTTTTTTCTTTTTGGAAATGTCCTGCTATAGGGCTTAGTTTGTTCTATTCAGAAAACAATGTAGAAAGTAAAATTGTGTACATTAGTCATCTTAAAGTGTACTTACTTTAGGCAAAGCAGCAACCTGGTAAGCAGCTCTCGCAGGAAAATTACTCTTGAAATCTGAATTTTAAAGAGTTTCATTTTAGTTTTCAGATAATGTGTTGTTACTCAACTCTGCATAACCTCAAGTCTGGAAAGTGCTTCATAGACTTCTTCGTTCTTAGACGTAAACAACATTGAGAAAAAGAAGCTTACATTCATATTTGTCTGATAAAATACTTTGCCATATGACTCCTATCATATATTTAATACTTTTTAAAATGTCTTAGCTTTCTGGGGAAAAATGAAAACACTCACGTACTCTGATAGTTTGATCTTATTTGATATGAGGGGGTTTTGTTTTAAAAGTTACACTTGTAAAAGAATTCACTAAATAGGGAACAGCTGCCCGTCTCCAGCAGCACTCTCACTGCTAACCTCGGTTTACTCCCGCTGTTTATCAGGACGGAGTCCGTAAGGGTGCGTTTTCCATGTTACACCTTGGTCTCATCTCACCCCCTGGTAGGGACACCCATTCTCCCCACTAAGACACCATGTTAATGACATGTAGATGACATTTACTGAGAGCTTATGACATCTTATGACATACCTGCGTCTGTTCTAATGTGTTTACATGTTGTATTGATTCATTTAAGCATCCCAACAACCCTACAAGGTTTCATCCCCATGTTGTATATGAGGGAACCAAAGCACAGAAATGTTAAGTAACTAACCAGCTAATGATCCTGAGAGTGCCAGAAAAGAAATGGTAGCTGGACCATAGCATAGCAATAATAAATACAATCTGTGTTTAAAAAAATTATTAGGAGCGCTTAAAAAGCCTGATAAGGGTGTAACAAAATTAAGCTTTAGGAAAATGGATTTGGAGGGTTGTAGCATATTATTCTAGGGAATACAATAAAAAGGTCTTCAATCTTTCTCATGGAGGTACACTACATGTGTCCAATCAGACTATCTGTTCTTCTAGGATAAGATCTATCACCACTTCTTGAGCATTTCCTTTCACTCTTAATTCATAGTGCACACTCATGAAAGCTAACAGATTCATTTCTATTGAAAATGGAAAATAGTTATGAATCCAAATTACTTACACTGTTTGTAGATTTCATTGACAGTAGTGAAGTCATTTATGTCAGCCAGCAAAACAGTTGTTTTGACCACTAAAAAATACATACATTGTCATTAGGTTTAGCTATTTGGTCTGATCCAAAACATTACTTAAAAAAGTGTATGGTTCTATGACTGTCTTGATTAAAATGGAAATGAAATTAAAACTGTTTTACAAAGCAACGAAGATATGGCATGACATATTGCCGGATGCCACGTGTTCTTCAAAAAGAGCAAAGAAATGTTAAACAGAAATGGAAGTAATATCAGGTTGCTCACCGTTACTGAAGTCACAGCCGGCAGCTTTCAGAATTTCACCCATGTTTGTAAGAGCCTGTGAACCAAGGCAAGAAGGCCTAAGGCATGGATGTTATATTAAAGCTGTACTCCAGCTCAATCAATGATCTTTCTTTTTTTTTTTTTTTTAAATATATCTTTATTGATTTCAGAGAGAGGAAAGGAGAGGGAGATAGAAACATCAATGATGAGAGAGTCATTGATCGGCTGCAGCCCGCAACCTGAGCATGTGCCCTGACCGGGAATCGAACCCTGATCGGCTGGATCCCAGGTTGACGCTTAACCACTGAGCCACGCCCGGCCGGGCAATGATCTTTCTAATACCTCCTTAAAGAGCTTATGTAGCAGAAAAATTTCCCCTTTTTAGGAAATTCTCTTTCTAGGCCACCTCTAACTAAATCTAAAACAAACTACTAGATACATGCAACTGAATTAAAATGAAAAGGTCTCCAACATAATTTGTTACATGATGAAATAGAAGCAAGATGCAGAGTGACCTGCACAATAAGTTACCATTGTGTGTGTGTGTGTGTGTGTGTGTGTGTGTGTGTGTGTGTGTGTGTATTTATGCTGGTATAGGCATTGACTGTCTCTGGAAGGACAGGAAGGAAACTGAGGAGGGGGGAATAAGGGTGGGAGGCATATGCTTTATATAGCTTTTGAATTTTTTGCCATATCTGTGTGCTACCTATTTAGATTAATTACTTTTTAAAGAATAAAAATATCACCAATATTATAATGTGACTAGTCAAGTGGAGAGGAAGAATGAAAACATACTGCATGTAATCTTTGATATTTCTCTCTTACTAACAAATGCTGACTTTTACTTCTGTGGTGGTGGGGTTGTTTGTGCAGGTCAGTGGCCCTGATCTAAAAAAATTTCCCAGTCCTCTTGGAAGTGGCGAGGTGTTATCTGATTTCAGATTTAAAGTCACCTTGGAAGGAACAATTGTTGTTTTTGTTGTTAAATGATTCATTAAATTTCCAACTTTCTACTGACATAAAATTGTCTTAAATCAATCAGTAAGTAACTTAAAAAGCACTGATCCTGTAATCTCTCTAAAGCAAACCAGCCAAGTGGATTTTTAGTACACCTTAACATTAAAAAGTAGTAAAACTTCAAATGTGGAAGTGGCTTACTTGTTTAGCTTCTTCTTTCACCCCTCCTGGCACAAGCTGTCCACTGGAGGGGTCCATGCCCAGCTGTCCTGAAATGTAGATGGTCCTGTCGACTAACACAGCTTGACTGCAACGAACAGATAGATTCAATATAAATATAAAATGCATTGGTAAAAGAGTTCTTTGCTGGGATACAATAAGCACAAAATGTAAAATTACAAAATTGATCATTAACTTCATTAAAATGAAAAACTTTTGCTTGCTGAATAACATCTTTAGGAAAATTGAAAACACAAGTCACAGATTGGGAGAAAATAACCACAAAACATATATCTAACAAAGGACTTGTATCCAGAATATATAAAGAACTCTTATAACTCAATAATACGAAGACAACCCCATAAAAAATGGGCACATGAAGTGTATCCAGTTTGATTATGTACAGTTTTCATTGTTGCTACATGTGGAGATATATCAGTTTCCCATTGATAAGATGAAGGAAAGTTCACCATGCCATCTGTATTCATGCAGAGTCTAGTTTAAATGGAAAAATATTTTAAAAATGCAATTAGAAAGAAAAAGAAAGGACGAAACTAATCTTGCTCCGAAGACTGAGTGCCCAGGGGTAAAAAGCCAAGCTTTTTCTCGTCTGCCAAGGTTCTTGCCGATGGAAGCCAGGAGCCAACAAAGCTGAAGCCTCTACGTCTGCCCATCCGGAAAGCACGTCGGACAGTGTGTGGACTGTTTTGCTAAGAAGGTGGCCTAATTTGAAAAAGGCTGGACCCTTCCCTAAGTTTGGATTTGCCCCAACACAAAAGTCTTCTTTTACAAAACCTTATAAGCAAGATTAATGCTATGAGAGGAGAGGCCTTGGTGCAGCGCTGAGGTTTGTGAGCCGGAGCGGGACAATGGAGGCCTCTTTCAGGTGGCTTTATGCTTCCAGAATTACTGGCATTTCCCCCTTGTGTCTCTCAGGTCAGGTTTTAAAGGCATCGTTGTGTAAAAGTGACACCATTTTCTTCTGGCGTGTCACCGAGTGAAATCCTGATGCTTCTTGTGAAGCTGGCTTCTCTCCTCGCCTTGAGCGTGCTGACATCACAGAGGGCTCTCGTTTTGTGAGCCTATTTCAGAAACTGGACAGACCGCTGAGCGGTGAAGCAGTGGACAGTGGCTTTGCTATGAACACCGTCGGAGTTCCTGGTAACACCGGTTTGGCAGCTTGGGTGAAGGAAGGAGCCCACGGGCGGGCGCGATGAACCAGTGCTTCGACGTTAGCACCAAAGGCCGGGCGAAGCTCAAGAGACAACTCTTGCCTAGTGTCTCAAAGCCACACTTTATCCCTGGAGTCACCGCCTTAAGAGCATCTCTTGAGAAATGGGAGTGGCATCTAAAGTTGTTTTCGATTGCAGATAAGGTCACAGATTCTCCAAGGACCAAGTCTCGGTGCCCCCTGGATTCCGATCCCCCGCTGCTCATGGAGAACCGCATGGCCGGGTGTTGGGCTCCCCTGTGGGGGTCTGCGGGCCGGGCGCAGCCACGGGCCTGCTCGGAATCCTTCTGCCTACTCTTCTAGCTCTGTCTGCCCTGTGCTCCTCCTGATACATTCTTCCAAAGTTTCTGCACGCTTGGATGAGGAAACACGAATATGTTTTCTCTCCTCGCCTGCACAACACGCGGAGTGCTGCTTTCACTCCACGTGCGTCAGGGTCTTTGCATAAGTGTGTAGACGGCTTCCCTGTCCTTTTGGCGATGGCACGTTCCAGTGTATGGGTGCACTTTAGTCACACTGACTCCACTATTTTGCTATTGTAAACAAAACTACATTGAAAACCATCACACACATATTTCCCCTGAGCGAGTAATAAGCCTCTTTCCTGTGAGCCCCAGAGGTCCCTGTGGAGCCCTTCTCACGCCAGGCACAGGGTCCTGCCTCACATGACGGTGGTTCCTCTCATCCCTCCTGCCCCGCGTGCCAGGCTGAGCTCCTTGCGGCAGGGGCAGTGTCTTACTCGGTCTCTGGCTGTGCAGGGCCTAGGTGATTCCCCACACAGTGGGGTCACAGTAACTTCTTGTTGATGTTTTGCTCTCTAACCACTTAGCTTAACTTGGCTGTGAATAAAGTGTCTTTTTTTGAAGACCTGCTGGCTTTTAGTGAGGGTTCTGGAGAACTGAAGAGGGTCAATTTAAACTTGGTACCGGGATTTAGAAAGTCTAGGAATTCTCCACTATCTGGCTTCAGCCCAGCCCACAAATAGGTAACTACTGAGTCGGTTAATGTGTCAGCTTTTCTCAGGTTGAAAAGTACTATCAGCTAACACTGTTTCTATTAACTGTCCTGTGTAGAATTAGGCTACCCTCAGCCCTTTGAAAAGTACCTTTAACTCTGCCCATGTCTGAAATGTAGTTCAAGCCCATATGCATTATCATTAATCAAAAATTTTTTCATACATAAAAAGGAACTCATTGAGCCTCAGAAAATTAAAAGCCCTGGACCTCTGGGACTATCTGAACTATGTGAGTTATTTCTTATAAATTAGTAGAGGTTGTTCACAAAAATGACTGGATAACTCATGCATCCTGAGCATAAGAATCCTACTATCCATAGGACAGTCATTAGGCTCCAGAAAATTTTAAAGTATATTGTTCTACATCCAGGTCAAAGGGTAATAACACTCTTCAAAAGCATCCTAGTAATAATTCTCACATCCTTATCTATGCCACCTGGATGATCACTTCAACATTTCATGACTATTTGGTGTAGCAAAGTGGAAGGAACGCAATAGCAATGTGCTGTCGAAATCTCTCAAGGTTCTGTCCCAGAGTGTCCCTGAAATGTGCTGAGCTTATTAGCTAATTAGTAACAACACCCCAGCCATCCCAGTGCCAGGGACTGAAAGTTCAACACATCTGAATTCCTCCTGGAGAGGACCCAGATTTTTCAAAAAGTGCACTAAGCACAAAAACTATTGTTTCCAAATGGTTTTAAGACATGTCTCATTCACTTTACCAGGATAGAACTAGTTAGTTGGAATGTTCTTTTTGAAAATTAGTACCATTTCTAGTGGCCTTGTATCATCCTTGGATACACAAAAGCACAGGAGGCACAGTGTCCTGAGAGGTCTTCACACAGTGAAGCTGGCTGATGGCTCTTCCCTTGTCACATGGCATGTTCATTTTCTTTGCTTGCAGCTTTACAAAGAGAGTTGACCCTATCTCTGAGTCAGCCAGCAGTATTACTCTCATGCTTGCTTTCTTGAACAAAGTACATACCCGAGGAAGGTGTGCATTCTGGGCTCTATAATCCCTTTGTTTCTGTTAAGGGTCACTTTTGTTCTGAAGTGAAACCCCTGGGTGATGGAGGGAGGACCAGGGAGGGAGAAGAAAAAGGGGGACTGATTTTTACTTTTATTGAAACACCCCCTTAACTATTCTTACTCTCTTCTCAAATCACTATCAGAATTCTCTTTTTAAAAGAGATCTGATCTATGTCAAGAAAAGAGCTATTTTTGATGTGCTCAGCAAAGCTGTGGAGGTAAGCTGGCAGCATGACCAACTCAGCCATTGCTGCCAGTCACCTTCCGACAAGTAAAATGAGAGAGATCTGACCATGTCACTTCCTCTTCAGATGGTTACAGAATATACTTTAGTGAAGAATTAAAAATAACGAAAATTATATTAGGAAAATAAAAGTCTACAAGAATGCATGTAAGATCCAATAGTTTAAAGGTTAGACATTTTAGGAAAATAAAGTCTTTTAAAAAAGGAATTGACTTTTCTATTTGGCAGTGTTTCTGACAAGTGGAAGTAAACATACACAGGATAGACTTTCTGGCCAGTATATGTGTATTTAGCTAGCGCATGTGGGGCAATCTTAGAAATGATCTTCATTAAGATTTGTATTTGACTATTAGCCGGAAATAAACATGAGCAAATGAACTCATAAACATCACAAAGCATTTGTGTACATGCTGTCAAAACTAGTTTCCTGGGTAGGTCTGCAGGGGTTTGCTAAGCATCTATGGATAGGATTTACTCCTTTGAGTCAAGAGAGGGTTAGCCAAACATTATGCTAAATCAGCGATTTCCAACTAGTGGATGCGCAATAATTAAAAAAAAAAAAAAATGTCCTTATTGATTTCAGAGAGAGGAAGGGAGACTGAGAGAGAGAGAAACATCAATGATGAGAGTCATTGATTGGCTGTGTCCTGCACACCCCCCACTGGGGATTGAGCCCACAACCTGGCATGTGCCCTGAGGAGGAATCGAACCTCGATCTCCTGGATCATAGGTCGATGCTTAACCGCTGACCCACTCTGGCTGGCCGCAATAATTTTTAAAACATGCAATACCTGACTATTTAGTCAGGGGCACTGCCGTCTTTCCCCTTAGATGGTCAATTTTAAAAATGACAACAGCCAACACAATAACAGCCATCCAGTGTTAATGAATCAAAGCTACACCTATTTTTTTTTTGGTCAGATTGGCAAAACTGTATTTTTGGTGTGCTGCGGAATGTTAGAAATTAGTTTGTGTGTGCCAGGAGATGAAAAGGTTGGAAAGTGGAAGATGACAGTTACCAAGGACCCCATATTGTAGGATTCCGCTGATTATAGGAAAAGTCCAGAACAGGCAAATCTATAGACTGGCTACTGGTAGAGGCTGCCAGGGGCTGGGAGAAGAGGTGCCAGGGCGTGACTGCTGATGGGCACAGGGTCTTTTCAGGGTGCCAATGTTCTGAGGTTACAGTGGCCTTGGCTACCCTGCACTGTGAGGACAGTAACAATCACTGACTCGTATAAAGGGCTGGGTTTTGGGTGTATGTGAATCATAGCTCCATAACGCTGTTAGAAAAAGAAAAGTTCAACACCGTATGCCTTCTCCCCGGGTGCGTGCCCGCCTCTCCGGGTGAGGTCTCCCCGCGCGTTCCCCTTGGGGGAACCCCGCGGCCACCCCAGCTCTGACCCCGGGGGTCGGCCCCATACGCCCCTACCCCGCGCGCCTGGGGTCCAGCCGCGCTCCACCAGTCGAGTTACCTGTAGGGACCAATGGCCGCTGGGGCCTTCGTGGTGCTGATCACCTTTCTGATTAAGGACGTCATGGTTACTCCGTTGCTCTGCCGGCCCCTCGCAGTCGACCGTCCCGCGCTCGCGCTCGGCTAGCTTCTCCCAGACTCCCCAGCCGCGGGCAGTCACTACGGAGACGCGCCGGGGGCGGGGTCGCTCGGCATTCTGGGACTTGTAGTCACTACGAAGACGCGCCGGGGGCGGTCACTCGGCATTCTGGGACTTGTAGTCCCGGCGGGGCTCCGAGCCACGTGGAGGCCGCGGCCGCGCCGGCGCATGCGCCCTCCTGCACGCTCCCCGCGCATGTTTTGGAGGGGACTGCGGCAGGACCCTGTCATTCTGTCCCCGGAGCCCCAGCTTCTTCCTCAGAGGTCGGGCAGGTAAGTCGTGAGGGGCTGGTGTTCACG